GGTTAGTGGCGGACGTCCCCTGGCGCCTGTCGCTCCGTCCGGATCTCCTGTCTCAGGGTCCGGTTTTCCATCCGTCTTTACCGTCACTGGCTTTGATGGCGTGGCTGTTGAGAGCCAGGTGTTGAGAGATCGTGGTCTCTCGGATGCGGTCATCTCTACGATGTTGCGGGCTCGCAAGCCTGTGTCGCGTAGGATTTACCACCGCACATGGAAGGCTTATTTCGCCTGGTGTGAGGCGGTGGGGTTTCCGCCTCGTTTGTTTTCCGTTGCCAGAATCCTTGCCTTTCTACAGCGTGGTGTGGATCAAGGATTGGCCTTGAGTACGATCAAGGGCCAGATTTCGGCCTTGGCTGTCCTCTTTCTATGACCGATAGCCTCCAACGCCTTCGTTCGCACTTTCGTGCGGGGGGGTACGCGTATCGTTCCTCCTGTTCGCTCCCCGTTGCCGCCGTGGGATTTGAATCTGGTGCTCTCGGTGTTGCAGGATTCTCCCTTTGAGCCTCTGCGTGAAATTCCGATTCTGACTCTGTCTCAAAAAGTGGCCTTTTTGGTGGCGGTCACCTCGGTCCGCAGGGTTTCGGAATTGGTGGCCCTCTCTTGCTCATCCCCGTTGCTGGTCCTGCACCAGGACAAGGTGGTTCTGTGGCCCCCGGCCGTCCTTTTTGCCGAAGTTGGTTTCGGTTTTCCATCTCAATGAGGACATTGTCTTGCCTTCCTTGTGTCCGAAACCCGTCCATGAGTACCAAAATCCTATTTTTTATCATTTATTCATGACCTTTTTTTCATATGCACACAGTTCTTTGAGAACAATTTTAGCACTTAGATTAAGGATTATTTTGTTATAGTCATTGCAGTTTTTATCACACGAAGGTTTAACACTTATTAATTACTTTACACATTAATTTTCCTACATAGCGCTGTGTTTTTTTCCTATTATTAGACTCTGTTGGGTTAACCCCTTTTTTTCCAAGCAACTTTGTAGGGACTCAATTTGTAGCCTTTCCTGAGCGCGGAATTTGTTAATTTTATATTTTACTTTGTATTGCCTGCTTCAGGTCCTATTTCTTCTAAATTCTATTTTTGTTGCCAGATTCATACTACTCACTCTTTTCTGCTTGAACTTGCCTCACTAGTTGTTGGGGAGCAGAGGGATTTCCACCTATAGTTTCATACTGTCTCATCCGTCAGTGTTTTTCTTAATGCTGCACCATGATAACAATTGGTGGCTTGGAGGTCCATGCAAATTGTAGAAAATGATGGCCTGCATCAGAGGGAACCCTTTTTATAACTGAATCAAAACACACTTAAAGTGGAAACCTCTTACAAGTCTGCATTATGAAGCCACGCGTGACCTTAGAGTATTATTGTATTGCCATGTGATACCTGAGGAAGTCCTCTTTTGCATGCTTCTACACATCTATCCAAACACATGTGACATCTGTTATACTTTGGTCTCTTCTCTTTACTTCAGTGGCATCATCCACTTCTTTTCTTCTAAGTCTTTTAGGCTTTGTTTCCAGTTATCATGCAAGTACCATGTTGATTCAAGTATTGTGTTTTATTATGACATGTTAGTTTCCCATAGGCAATTGATGATAATTGTGTTGCTCGTGCTGTTTGGATGCCTTGTTAAATGCCGGGACAGTGGCAGAGGCCTACTAAACAGAAAAAAAGATTTGAGACCCTCCCAAGCACCCATTCCTGTTGTCCCTTGCGTTAGAATGATTTATTGCATGATGCAATCCATTGTCAATATTATCCCCCCTCTTCTTGCTGCAGACCTACAGGGAATCCATAAGTTGTAGTCTTCGATGCTGCTGCCTACCTTGTTCCAAGTCCATGAACTGTATTGCCAGTTGGTGGTATTATTTATTATTGTTATTATTGGATTGGTTTTAATTACAATTAAAGAACCCAAGGCAGCAGCACTTATAATGTACAGCCAATATATCTGCCACTGTCTTAGGAGTCGGGTAGCCAATATGCCAACTGCTACAACATATGCTGATTTCTGTTATTGCCAATTTGTCTATGGGTATCTTTAGAAGTTTTGTTCATATAGAAAAACAGACCCTCAAAACATTTTGTCCTAAGTGGCTGCTGACAGGCCTTCTTTTATAAGTCTTAAATGAAAACCCTATTATGCTAAAAAAAAATGTGATATAACCTATTGCTAACACAATCCATTTTGTAATGTAATTGCTATTAAAACGTACGTTTCAATCTGCAGCCTACTTTTTCTAACTGCCAAATTTCTTCTTACAATATTGCAGAGTGAATGAGTTCTGTACATAGTATGTACACTGTCAAATGACAGGCATTCCCTGGCTTTTTTTCAGCTGGGATATTTTCTAAAACTTTTTTTTTTTTTTCTTGGCTAAAGGCCTGCAGACGTTTTTCATCACACGGTGATTGCTTATATGCACACTACTAATGAAGGCAGACCCTCCTCATTAGCAGTTAGTTAGTGTAAGGACATTGCAAGGTGATCATAGATTTCTTCAGAAGGTACAGTCCTTGCAGTGTATTTGTCAGTTGAAGTTGATTGCTTATCTTACTCTTTTTTTAATGTGTATTCAATAGAAATTATGACCTGTATAAAAGCAAGGAACACTTTTATTTTTTTTTATAAAGAGAACAGCCATACTTACCATAACATAGGCAATGCTTAATAAAATAATTCCTACAATTAAAAAAACAGGAAGACTTGCTTATGATCTAACATTAAACTCTGTAGAACACTTAGCCCTCGTTCACACCTGAACGTTTTGTAGCGCGTTCTACGCTCGATGAACGCTCTACAAAACGCTAAAAAATATAAATCCCATTGTATTCAATGGTCTCGTTCCCACCTTGGCGTATTTCCGCCCGTCCCTAACGCGCTACAAAACGGCCCACACCTGAAAAGGTACTACTTTGGGCCGTTTTGTTGCGCGTTTCCATTGGGATACAGACAAGTAGCCTTCGGAAACGCTTGACGGTTATTACCGCGAATCGCGGTAAAAAAACGTGCAACAGACGCGCATATGCAATACGCCTAGGTGTGAACGAGACCATAGGCCTATGTCACAGTAGTAATCCTATCACTGGTGGCAGCTTGCCAAGGACTTGATCGATAGAAGGCAAGGGAACCACACATCTGTTTCTGTGGTGTTTCTTCCTCTCTGGCTGGACCAACATCCCCCTCACCCCCTCTATGATGGCTCAGGGGGATTGTGTGGAATTTTGGGCAATGAGGAATGGACATTGTGGAAACAGGCGAGTAGTTCCTTTGCCCTCTCTAGCAATCCAGTCACTGCTATTGCGACATTGACCTTTAGTGAAGAATAACTTGTGTACTAATGAAGATTTCTACTTCTTCCTCACAAACCCTTACCTATTGCCATCTTTGCAGATTAAACCAGACACGATAGTGGAAGTGTGGAAGGGGGAAAACTATAACGAAGAATTGTACAAAGTGACGGCTGCAGGGTTTTCTGCCATCCTCTCAGCTCCCTGGTACCTAGATTACATTAGTTATGGCCAGGACTGGCAGAGATACTACCGAATTGAGCCGCTAAATTTCAATGGTTGGTTGTTTTTTAATATTCTTATGTGAGCTGTGTGCCAGCTTTACTAATTTCTTGTGTTACTTTAGAGCCCAATTGCATCTGTTTAAATCTGCAAAGTATATTCTAGGTACATTAAAAAAAAAAGTGTTAATTTTCTTTCTGAAGCGGTCACGTCCAAAGCAGAAAAGTCTGTCTCCTGCCAGCATGCATCAGAGTGGGACCCTTGCTCCCTGTGGGGCAGCAGTGGTCTCTCTGCAGAGGTCTAACACGCCCACTGCTGCTCAGACCTATAGCTTTGCAGTTAGCAAAGCTCATGTTGCATGCTGATTGGAGAGCTCTGACTTAGCTCAGAGTAGGGCACTGCTGCCCTACTCTGAAGCATACTGGCAGGAGACAGGCTTTTCTGTTCAGGATGCGACAGCTATAAAAAGGAAACAAACTGTGGCTGATTTCTTACTAAAGGAAACTGCATGTACACTTTTTTTTCTTTTGAAAGTCTAGTTGGGCTTTAAATTCAACTCCTTTAAAAAAAATGATATTTCAGTGTTTTGTGTGGTTGCTGACAAGCTGAGTCATAGGCTGTGCTCAGAGACTGCAGTGGAGAGAGATCCTCACCAGAACTCCCAGTTCAACCCAGTTGCTCATCTATTGGGATGCAGGCTGATTGTACCGCTCTCCCCCAGTGGATTGCCAGATTTTAGATTAAAAACCAGTGTTGAGCGATCGCCTGTGAGGGAATGCTACAGTTTTATGTTCTTATTGAATGGGAGGACAGAGGCAAATACTACTGCCAGGTGATCTCACCACTGGACTCTCGGTAACAGAAAAAGCTGGCAAGTGATTCAGTTTGTTGATTGTTGTGAAGTCAGTTTTTGGTGCTTCTTGCTAAATTCATTTTAATCGAGATCTATGAATAATTACAAATATTGAGCTATGAAACTCCAAGATTACCAAATTAGCACCTGATGTAAATTAAACATTGACTTTGACATTGACTTTCATTCAACACGGTTAATAAAGAATAGGATTTTAAAGATACAGCTGACAACCCTATTTAACCGGTTGTGTGTCATATACGCTGTGACGGACCCCCGTACTCAGGATGAGTATGTCCGCCGCTGTCTTCTTCCTTGCTGAGGAGATCTTGCAACCTGAAGATCTTTAGCTCCCAGTTTCCCCAGTCACTGGTCGGGACTCAGTGTAGGGTAAACAAACTCTGGTTTATTGAACAACTGCACAAACTTTTATACAGAAAGTGATCAGATCAGAATATAATCCCATCACATCCCCCGTCCCCTCCTAGGACATTCTGTCTTCATAACACCACAGGGGTCCACCTGCTAACGAGCTCCAGACAGCCATAGCAGTAGCCTGGCCAGAATGTCATTGTTCTGAGCTCCCTCAGAGTACAATGGGAGATAACGAGGGGGGGGAGGGGTGCTGATAGTCTTTCCCTAACCAGGTCACACAGCATAACGCACTCAAACATAACTCAACACCAATACACATTTAACTGATAAACTCATCACCATGTCGTCACATACGCCTTAAGACTTCAGCAGTGTACACGAGATGTATGCCTCTTCCCCCTACTGCCCCACCACTCATGCCAACAAATCTTACCTGTCAACGGTTTTTATTGCAGCCACTACTGTGTAAAACTGAGATTTCCAAGTGTTCAGAAGACGGTTTAGAAGCTTGTTCTAAATCTAACGGCATTGTTTTTATTCAACTACAGATCAAAGGTTTGATCTTTTGATCTGCATATGAGGTCAATGAAAGTAGCCCTACCAGTAAAAAAAAAACGGGCAAAATTTAATGCTATGTAAGGTTAGGGTAGGCCCTAAGAAATGAGAGTATGTAGTGTCTCCAGGGTTCTGGTCAAAGGAACAGAGTTAAAGGGCATGATTGAGTGATGGGAACTGTACTGGAAGTGATCATATGAACTACTGTGTATAGTAAGTCAGTAGTTCTCTTATAGAGAAATACTTCTGTGCTATAAAGAAGAGACTGTACACCATAAACCTTACAACAGGTCATTCAACTTTTTTAAAACACATTAAAAATGTACAAACATGTATTTCAATAAAGATGTATTAGCTGTTTGTAAGGTTTATGGTGCAGTCTCTTCTTTCTAGCACAGAGTATTTCTTTATATGAGAACCGCTGACTTGCTATATAGTTTTGCTCATATGCCCAGGGCTATGGATAAGAAGTGTTTTTTGTTTTTCTGGGTTTTTTTTTTTTGGGGGGGGGTTTATCTTCCCTCTTTTTGGGTTATGTTTGTTTGGTTGTAAATGGTTTTGGCCAGCCCACCCTCCATAGGGTCTTGATTTATAAGTCATCATATGAACTGTCTGCTCCACTGTGGTAATATTCCATCTGCATGCCTTCGTAACGTTTTCAGCTCATCAAGGAATGTACCCCAGCTTATTAAATATTGTCCTCTTGCTCATCAAATGTGCTTTCTGCTTGTGAACAAATAAGCCCTTAAAACTAAAATGACCACCTTCCTTACATACTGAGCATCTCAGAACTGGCTTCCTGTTCTTTCCTGAGTTCTATCATACATTCTGGTCCTCAGCAGCCACAAATGGGACAAAAACTAGATTCTGGTGATCAGCTTTATTGAGGACCACTAGAGGATGTCAGTGCCCTCTATGTGAAACTTGTTTTTGTTTTTGCAAGTAATTATAATGTGACATGGCATGCTTGTTTTTAACAGTCTATTTAAATTTCTCAGTTGAAGCCAGATACAGTTGTTGAAGTCTGGAAGGAAAAGAATTACCAAGCGGAGATGGCAGCAGTTACAGCTGCTGGCTTTCAGGCACTTCTTTCTGCTCCCTGGTACTTAAACCGCATTTCCATTGGCCAGGACTGGATCCAATTCTACCACGTCGAGCCGACAAATTTCACCGGTGTGTTCTGGTGCCTGAGCCCCACCGCACGGCTGCCTCATGTCAGCTGATCTGCATGTGGCTTTCCATTAGTAACCATTGCAGCACATTCAGTTTAAACTCTGTTGGGGTAAAAGAAAATCCTGAAGGAGGGTGTCCTGCAATACCAGAGCTATTATACACTCATCTCAGATAGCCCATGTCTTCGATATTCCCTCTGTTCCAATGCTCCAACCTCTTCAGTATTCAACTCTTTTGGGAGTGTACAATGCCCATGTCCCACTCCGCACACTTGGGTTCCATCCTCCTAACCCAGATACCACTAAGTCCCCCTAGTGATATAGGGGACGGAGGATAGAACCACATTGTGCAGAGGGGGACTCGGGCATCCTACACTTACCTACATGTTGATAGATAATGAAATTGACAGAGGGTACACTTCTTCTGGAATGGAGGAAAGGTAGTATAGGAGCTATTCTATTGCAGGGCACCTTCCTTTAGGACTTTTTCTATTACTCTGAATGGATCTCTTAATTATAGGCATTGCCAGCAGCACAGGATCTGTTTCTGCCAGAATACTTGATATTTCAGTCCTAAAATGAATCCTATTTGATGCCTGAAAATGTTGATAAGCTAAATGTTTCCTGCCTAACATTCTTTCGTTCAGTGTTGGCATAGGCTAACGTCACAATTAGAGCTTCACTCTGCTGCTTGTAGGGGTGGTTGTTGCGCAACAGATATACTGCATCTTGCTCGGCATGTGGAGTTTGCAGTTTAGCTGCAAATCTAGTATTGGCTTACTACTCCTGGCTTATGCTGGGTGATTTTGAAATGATTGCATTTCAATGCTCATACTTTAGTTGGTAGTAGGGACTGTGGAAGTGGGTTACTCTTTCAGCCATATTGGTTATAATAATAACCTGGTCATTATGCAAGAAGAATAGGGGAACATACTCAGTACCTGGTTTGTGTTATGTTTAACACTTTAGATTAATTTGAAGTCAGTTTTTTTTTTAAACTCCTCCAAAAAAGGTTAATATTTGTAAGCTTCCCAATCCTTAGATGTGCTGCT